TTGACAGCCCACAATACCTCATTATTCATTTTCCCATGAAGTTCTCCCTCCTCAGTGTCTATCATCATTGTCCTCACAGGTCGCTTTTGGTTCAGCCGCCACCTTCGTGAGGGGTGGCCAACATCTTCCTTGCCGCAAACGCCTCTCCTTGTCAGTGACCTCCAAGCCCCTCGAAGTCGTCAAGACTCGCATGCACTTGCAGGACGAGGTCTTGGACTGGCATGGGCATACGTCGTCGTCGGGCCAAATCAAGCGCCAGTCGACAGTGTTCGGTTGGTACTGACTCCATCCGCGGTACTGGGACAGCAGGCGGTCGCTGCCTAACGCATGAAGCACGACGGACCACCTTTTTTCTTCCGCGTACTTTGCATCGACGTCGTTGGGTTCGCATATTTTTCGAGCAAACGATGGAGCATTTCCGAGCTCGCCTTAGAATGGATCGATTTCGAGCAAAATGCCAATGCTGAGTACGGTGACACTTCAAATGATCATTACTAACAACTAATATAGTACTATTAATAGTATGATACTAGTACTAGTATTATCCATGGGGATATACCCAATCATCGAATTCATCCCAAACAATAATTGTTGACGTCATCATGATCATCAGCTGCCCAGCATGCTTTCACCAGAACCGTACCCTTTCCCCCCGGAGACTACGTCTCCACCCCGGATAACGTACGTGTAATGCTATGCCCAGGGTTCGCGCATTAACAATCGTTTGCGATAGTAAATGATTGCCAATTTGCAAACCCCTTGTGAGCTGTGTGGGAATATCTTAACTTCACTATCATCCCGGTTTGTCCCAGTGGATGCAGCACGCTGTAAGGGGTAACTGAAGTATGTCACATTAGGTAATATCCGTAATGCTCTAAAACAATCCACTCCATCACAACAGCTTATGTCCCTACTAAATATGCTCGAAAAGACTGCAATAGTCTAAGTACGCTCTGAAATGTATTAGACCTCTAGATCACAGATTCATGTTTTGACCAATGATTGTACATTTTACACGAATTATTATGAATTCATGGAGGGATTTTTCTGACTGGTCAGTCATCGAGATAATAATTTAAAACTCTATCATTTGTCAAACGTCCACTGCAAGAGAAATGATTGGATCTTTTAGTGGATGGTTAGTCAAGCATCAACCAATCAATGTTTTTGGAAATCACTCAGTCCTTTCCATGAGCACAGACTCGTTCATAGACCAATCACTAAACACACAAACTTGCACATCAGAGCAGCCCTGAGCCAACCATAAACACAATCAAAAAGACCACTATGGCACGCAGAGCTAGTCTTCAAGGCTCGCAGGCTGCCCCGCCACTAACCTCACGCAACATCAGCCAAGGTCTAGCTCTGCTTACCAACCTCGACCAGCAACGCCAGCCAAGAGAGCACGATACTCAACCGTACGCGCGGAAGAACCCGATGAAAACCTTGACTCCACAAGCCCAATCTACGATGCCTTCGTCGACGACCAAGGACCTGATGGTATTCTGACAATGACCAACTTCAGCCCGTCTGAGTTCAACATCTTGTGGGCGGACTTACGGCAATACCTTTCGAAGCATTGGAACACTGGTTCGGGGCGCAAATCCGAGGTCACTGGCCGTGACTTACTGCTGATGATGTTGACGTCACTTAAGCACTGTGGCTCATGGGACATCGTTGCCGCTGTGTTCAAACAAAAGAGTGCTACCTTTCAAAAGCGTGTGTTGATATATATTGGGTTTCTGCATCCCTTTTTCATGCGCAAATACGTTGCCGTGCCTGCCGAGAAATGGACGATGTCGCAGCTAGCTGCCAACGGGGATCGCTTCACCAACTATCCCTATGCTCGCTATGCAACGGATGTGACCTTTCAACAAACGAATGTCCCTGCCGGAAGCTATGCCGAGAAGAAGTCGTATGGGCATAAGGTGGAAGTGTCGGTGCTTCTGAACGGGCTTGCAATCAATTGCACCAAGCACTACAAAGGCAGCGTTGCTGATAAGTCCATTTTCGACGACAACTTGGAATTCCACGCAAATGGCCTTGCCAAACAAGGCGACGACGGCCGCCTGGATGATCCTGAGCGAGTTGGTGGGGCACGTCAATGGGCGGTCCTTGTGGACAAAGGCTACCAAGGGATACAAAGAGAAGTTCGCGCGGTGCTTCCTACCAAGAAGCCAATTGGAGGCGTG